AGATTGGGAATTGCATCCTAGCCCCATTCTATCATGTCTTCTCCTCAATAGTTCTTAACATTAACTTGCAACTTATTTCTTTGAATTCTTTTTCAGATCTACCCTCTTTCTTCTTTCTATCCAGGAATCCAATGACCTGAATATCAGATTTTTTAAAAATAGTGTCATAGATTTGTAGGAATATGTTTTGTTTTTGTGATTTTTAGTAGTATTTTTTTTCTTTGTGGCTCAGATTTATTTCTGTTGTCTTATCTTCTTGTTCACTGATCTCTCCACCTCCATTCTGTTGTTGTGGTCATCCACTGGTTTTGTAGTCCCCCCCACTCCCTCCCAGGGATGTGTGTGTGGGGGGGGGGTTGAAATTTCATTTTGGTTTTTCTTTGTTTTTCCATTTTTTGCTTAGACTTTCTGTCTCACTGCTAACATTTTCTAGTTTTAATTTGTTTAAAGCAAGTTCATAATTGCTCAGTAGAGCATTTTTATGTTTGTTTTAAAATTTGGTTAGATAATTCCTAGTATTTCTGTCATACCAGTTATTGCAACCTATTGATTGATTCTTTCAGTTTGAGAACTATCTAGTCTAGTTTCACGTGAAAACATATCATGTTATGCGACTGGATCTTAGAAATTTTATTTTAGCTGGCTTCTTCAGGTATCACTCTAGTGAAGGAAGAGGGAGCGCACTGTTTTTTTATTGTCAGGTGGGTATAAAAGTCCAGATTCACCTTTGGCCTCCATTAAGTCAAGATGAAGTGTTCTCCCACTGTTGCTTGGGTGGGCTGGGAATTCTGACTAGCCATGTGATTTCTGCTGAAATTCTGGTAGGGATGGTCTTATCACTATGAATGGTGATGAAAGTCCTGAAAATGTCCTGTTATATCTCTGACATCACCACACTGGGGAAAGGAAGAGGTACCTTTTGGCTGCTGCTTGGGGTCGAAATCAGTGATACCAAGGGACAGGGATTTCCCTAGTTATCCTTCTCTTACCCCATCCCAGCAGATGGATTGGGTGGCTCTAAAGGTTGGTTTCTCTCTTGGCTTTTGTTGTTATGATAGGAGCGAGGCTGCAGTTTTTTCCGGTGGTATTTGGATGAAGCAAAGATATTATTGTTCAAAAGTTTTCTGTATTCCCTTGCTGTTCCTTTCCTGGTATTTTGCCTTTTATAGGTGCTTTTCATATCTGTGCCTGTTTTAGCCCATTTTGTGCTGCTGTAACAAGTTCTTGAGAGTGGAGTAATTTATAAAGACCATAAATTTGTTCCTCATCATCTAGTGACTGAGACGTTGAGGATCAAGGCAATGGCAGGTGAAGTTGTCTGGTGAGGGCTGCCCTCTGTTTTTAAGATAAAGTCTTGCTGTTACATCTTCTGGGGAGGAGGAACACTGTGTTTTCACATGGCAGAAGGCAAGACGGCCAAACATTGCAAGAAGTGTTTTTTATAAGGGCCCTTTTATAAGGACCTTTATCCCTTTCACAAATGAGGAGGCTTTAAGGTCCCACTTTTTAATACTGTCACATTGGCTATTAAGTTTCAACACTTGAATTGTAGAGGCATAGTACTGATCACTGGAATTTCTGGACTGTCAGCCTCTTTAAGAACAGATCTGTCATCCTTTACATTTCAGGTCTTCTCTCTACTCTGCACTTTTTCAAGAATCTTATACTTGATTTACACATAATTCAAAGAATTTTTAGTTGTAATAGGAAAAAGTACATCCATTCTATCTTCCCCAAAGTAAATATTTACATTACTTAAATGTCTATATATTGATTTTTCATTTTCATTCAGTTTAAATTATTTTTGGATTTCCCATGTTTTCTACTTTGATCCACTGGATATTTAGATTGTGTTAACTTCCAAGTATTTGGAGTTTCCCAGATTTCTATCTGTTTTTCATTTCTGCAAATTTTAAAATGTAATTTATAATAGTAACAATGTACGATATAGTCCTGCCTGAGATGATAGGAGCAGTGTGCTGTGCCAGCTTTCTTTGCACCCCAGCTTATTCCTTAGAGGCACCACTCTGTATTTCCTCTGATGATTTTCTCTATAATTGTTGTGTAAATGCAGAAGCCAAAGAGTTGAAAAACTTGTTTCCTATATCCTCAACTAAGGTTAATTTTTACTTAATCTGCATGTGTAACATGAGGATTTTGCTGATCTGTCTAACCCCCATCCTTCCAGTGTTCAATAATGATTGTTTTCAATTTTTGGATCACTTAATTATATAGTAATATCATTACTTATTGTTCCACTAATTTCCAGCAGTACAGTCTTAGAGACATTTGCTGTTCTCTTTTTATTTATTTAACAATATTTATTGATGAATAATCATATCTTAGTTTATTCTTTGATGTTATGAAATAGCAATTATTATTACATTGTTTTTAAAACTTCAGAACATTATTAAGGATAGGCAATAAGAGATTGTTCTGAGTCATGTTTTCATGTTGCATAAATAGAAAATTGAGAAGATCTGGATTTATTGTCAGCTTGGTGTAGTGCTATGATGTTGAGTTGTATGCCCACTTGATGTTCATAGTTTTTGTGTTCACAAGATTCTCATCTGAAGCTAAAAATTAAGCTTAAAAAATTTTTGGAAATGGTAAAAGCATTTAATGTTCACTGTATGCCAGAATTTTACATATAAGCTCTATTCTTAACCTTTCTTGAAATTTGAAAGAGGAGCTGACAGAGGTGCAGAAGCCATAGAAACCATAGCTTGCAGTCAGAATTTGACTACAGTTCTGAACTTAAAGCCATGCTTTCGTTGGGCTCACTGGTGCACATCTTATTCCCAACCACTCAGGAAGCTAAGGTAGGATGATCTCAGTTTCCAGTCTGGGCAACTAAGTGATATTGCTGTCTCAAAATAAAAAAACAAAACAAAAAATGCTGGGAATGTAGGTCAGTGGTGAAGTGCTCCTGAGTCTGATCCATAGTACTGCTAAAAATAAAATAAAAGTACACTCTCTCTTGTTTCAAAGTGTATCCACAGAAAAAAATGAATATAATTCTAGATTTAGCTCATATATTTAATGTGGTAATTTTTTATATATTTGATAAATTTGAGAGAATGGAAATAATAGATTTTATCAGTGTCAGTTTTTAAAAACTTTCTTTTAGTTGTAGATGGACAGAATGCCTTTATTTTATTTGTTTATTTTTATGGAGTACTGAGAATTGAACCCAGTGCTTCACACATGCTAGGCAAGTGTTCTACCACTAAGCTATGGCCCCAGCCCTCAGTGTCAGTTTCTAAAAATAAAATTACAGAATAGTAATGTATAGTGACATGTATTATGTGAATGTCTATAATATGATGCCATTATGTAGTATCAAGTGACTTCAGCTATGTGCTGCTTCTAATGCCCAGGGAGATGTCTGGAAGGATGAATACTAAAGTATTAACAGTGTTAGTTCTACTTGATTCTTATTTTCTTTTTTTAACTCTTTTTTATTTTATTTTGCTCCCCACCCCCATAGGTCTCACATTCTTTTTTATAAAATCTTTATCGTTTTTTTAAAAAGTTCCGATACCAACATTTTTTAATTTTTAATTTTTCTCCTCTCCCCCACATCATTAGACTTTTAAAAGTGAATTGCAGATTGCAAAGAATTGGTTAATTAAATTTTCTGCTTGATAAAAGTTTTAATGGGCACCGAAGCTATTATTCCATTTCATTCCAGAATGAATTTTTTGAAATAACATATATCCATATATAAATAGTTTCTATGAGTACTTAATAGACATAATAGGGGGATTCATTGTGACATATTTGCACATGCATGTAACATGATTTGATCAGTCTTACTCCTTACTACCTCCCATGTTTCTTCTCCCCATCCTCTTTCTCTATTCTACTGTTCTCCCTTCTATTATTATTTTTAAATAGTACATTATAATTATATATAAAAGTGGGATTTACTGTGGTATATTTATACACAGACTTTGCATAATTTCTTTGATTTTATTCCTGAGTACATACTTCCCCTTTCCTGCTGCAGCCCGGCTGGCTGGGCAAAATAACCGGGGGGTAACGAACAACTTGTGTACGTTGATACAGCAGGAGTAGGAGCCGTTTATTGTAGGACAACAGAGGTATTTATACATTCCACACAGCTTATCTTAATTAACATAAACTAGATACAACAGTCAACCAATAAGAAATCACACTTAATGGCTCGCTGGCGCCACCTCACAAACCACTCCCCCTGGCAAAATGCCAGGCGCCATCCTGACTTGTTTACAGACCCTAACATTAACCACTCCCTCTGGCAAAATGCCAGGTGCCATCCAGACTTGTTTACAGACTCTGACATTTGCCAGGCACCATCCTGACTTGTTTACAGACTCTAACACTTTCCCTTTCCTTTTATTCACTGTCTTTTTTCTGTTGGTCTTCTATTTTTGTGGGATCCTATTTTTATTTATTTTTTTCTTTCTCTAGTTTCCACATATGAAAGAAAAACCCTTAACTTTCTGACTATGGCTTATTTCACTTAGCATGATGTTCTCCAATCCCATCCATTTGCCAGCAAAGGACATAATTTCATTTTTCTTTATAACTCAGTAGAACTCCACAATGTGTATATGCCACATTTTTTTAATCCATTAATCTACTGCAGGGCTCTGTGGGCTCATTGTATAACTTGGCTATTGTGAATTGTGCTGCTATAAACTATATTTTATATATTTTAATGAGGAAATAAATTCAGAGACCTAAATGAAATGTTATTAAATGTTCTGTAAAACTTAGTATTTTTTATTAGTTTTATTTTAATTATATATTTTTAGACTTGATTTTATAGTGGATTATATAAATATTACATATATAATTTTAAAATGACTGTTTCCTAGATGCAATGGTTTAAATAAACTTGTGAATATTTATAATGTCAAAGGTGACCATCATAAATTGGTGTTTTGGAAGAATTATTATTGTAAGAGAGTATATTTTCTTCCATTCTCTCTTTTTGTTTTTATCTTTTATAGGTAATCATAGCCTACTGGTATCGCACATTCGTGGGAATAACGAATTTATTTGGGGTAGAAACTAAGACCTGCTGGAATGTCACCAGAGTAGAACCTCTTAACGAAGTTCAAAGCTGTGAAGGCATGTTTCTTCCTAAAATGCTGCAGTGCTGTCCTTGCTGTTTCCATAAACATCTCAGAGTGTTAGGACTCATTTTTAATTACTGTAAACTACTGTGATTATTTTTTTCCTCTAGAACACCCTAGAAATGTCTTACCCCAATAAGTATTTTACACTTTCAAGTAGATTTCTGAGAAGGCTCTGTATTTCCTTGTTTGAGTATTAATACACTTCAATGTAAAGCAATCTTTTTTTCTTTTCTTTTTCTTTTTTTTTTTTTTTTTGGGTGCTGGGGATTGAACCCAGGGGTGCTTAACTGTAGAGCCATATCCCCAGCCAATTTTTATATAGAGACAGGGTACTGCTGGGTTGCTTAGGACCTTGCCAAGTTGCTGAGGCTAGCTTTGAATTCATGATCCTTCTGCATCATCCTTCACAGCCTTTGGGATTATAGGCATGAGCCACCGCATCTGGCCAGTGTAAAGCAATCTTGAGTAAAAATCAGTTTTCCATTTCAGAATGAGATAATACTGAAGAAAAATAAAGACTTCAATAAGTAAATGTTGAGGATAGATTAAACAATTCAACAATGCTAGTAATAGTTATTATATAACTTTAATTATGCACACATACTTACACATACAATATTTCTAATACAATACTTGATTTTATTAGAAATATTGTTTTATTGTGTGCTCACAGTCCATGAATAATTCTAATTAAACTCTTCCTATGTATCTTCTACACTGGTGTCTTTGTCAAAGAAACATTTTTGGAATTTATCTAAACAGTTTTTCAGGACATGTAATAGTCATTTCTATTTAAGATACTTGTAATCTAGCACTTTTACAATCCAAGTCCCTAAAGACTTTAGTTCAAAGTCATATACATCTACTTGCATAACATTTTTACAGTTGTTTTTTTCTTTAGATTCTCCACAGAATGACTACTTGACTATATTTTACAAATGCATTTGTATAGATGTATTTACATTTAACATTCAGCTCTTAAGATAAAAAATAAATCTACATTTCCCTAATATTTTACTGATTCTTTTACATGACATTTGTAAAATCTAAAACTAAACTGCTGTCTGAGGGAAAATTATGTTTTTTACAACATAAAGGAATGGAGAAAATGCCTCATTAAATAAAAGACTCAATCAATTAGAAGTATAACTTTTTCTGAGGGATGAAAAACCATCACCTTATAAGGAACACAAGAAATGCTTACTAAGTTCACAATAAGTAAACAGGTTACTGTTTGACACTTGGGACATAGCAATTGACTAGTGGACATGTGTCCTTGATCTCATAAACTGTATACTATTAGAGTTCTGTTAAGTGTTAGAACTGTGGTGAATATTACAAATGAGAAAATAAGTTTGCTGAGGTTAGGAGTGAGAAATATTTGAAGAGAAATAGAGAGAAATGCTTCAAGAATAGAGGGACCAACATATTCAAAAGTCCGGAGGCAAGAGGGAACTGAAAGACTAGAAGTGGAACACAGAGATAGAGAAGAAAATTGGTGTGAAATGATGCTGGGAATGCATGCAAGGGTCAGATCATGATGGGCCAGATGCTGGTTAAGAATTTTGTACTTTATCCATTGAAGAACTTTAGTAGGTTCACATGTTAGACATGACTTTGACAGCTATATGGAAAGGCCATTAATATAAGGTGCAGGTGGATTCAGTAAGGCCAGGTAAAAGAAGGCTGTGGTCTCAGCAAGCAATTGTAGAAAAATATTATGAAATCCCTGGATTTCAGAGAGATTCTGGAAGTAGAATAAACATGATTTGGCAGTTGATGGGAGAGAAGAGGGAGAATGAAGAGCCATGTAACCCTACTTGGTTTGTAGCTTGAGTTCCTTTGAATGGTAGGAAACATGAAAAGTAGCAGGTTGAATCACTACATTTCATTGTGGATATTTAATTTGAGGTAATTGAGAGACCTCAAAGTGGAGGTGTCAAGTGGCTACCTGGATGTATAACGTTAGGAACAAGAAGAGCATTCTGGAATCGACTTGGAGTCATCTCTACATAGATAATCACTGAGGTGAAGGAAGTGGAAGCAGATTGAGAGCATGTGACAGGCTAGGGTGGTCTAGCATTGAAAAGAGGTGTGTAAAACCAGAGAAGTTATTACAGTGGGCAGAAAGGAGTGAACAGGAATAAGAAGGAATCATATGGACCAGACTTCAGATTTTAGATCCAACAAGTTGAGCACATCTTAGCAAGTAATTTTCTATGTTCTGTTTTTTTCAATATCAACACAGAATACTTCCATCCCAATAATCTTATAAATCTCATCTAAGAATTATATGAAATGATGATTATAAAACACACAAAGTGCTATACGTAAAAACACAATCTAACATACAAGATATGTTAATATTCTTGCTACATGCAATAATTAATCAAATAACTGGATCATCTCATATAGGCTTAAGTTGCTCCTTGAGGTGGGGTACTATATTTATTCATCCCAGAGCTTGGCAAAAGACATGAATAGTATAACAAGATATGGCTTTTTTCTTGGAATTGATGAAGTGGTTCTGTAGAGAGTTGCAGACAAACTAGTGTGAAATTCCAACAAATCATCATAGTATAAGTGTGACTATAATAAAGCATAAATGTAACTACATAATACATTATAGAGGCTGGAAATGTAGCTTGGTGGTAGAGTGTTTGCCTGGTACGCACGAGGCCCTAGGCTCCATTCCCCGTACTAAGGAAAGAAAAAAAAAAAAAGAAACGTGAAAGGGTGAAGATTATTGTAACTATTAAAGAAAGCAGGTATTTGGAAAAGCATATGCTTTCATCAGATTCATGAGCTCTTGATTACAAAGCACTAAGAAAAGTATGCCCAATTGCTTTATAACATTTGTTCATTAAATACTGAATAATTTGTGTTTTTTCAAAGGATTGGGAGACCCCGCTTGCTTTTATGTTGCTGTGATTTTTATTTTAAATGGACTAATGATGGGATTATTCTTCGTATATGGTACATACCTGAGGTAAGACTACTGAATTAAAAGATCTTACAAAGAGATTATAAGGACTGGCTGATGTTTCTTGATTAAATGAAAAGGACAATTAATGAGGTTAATTGATTAGTAGAAGGAAAGTTTGTACATTTATTTGATTGTTTTCAGAGGCTTAACCATTATTAATACAACCAGAAACTGAAAATGTCACAGAAATATCTTTAAAGGCCTCTCTTTTATCTGTGTGGGGATTTTAAAAACTAACTTAAGATTTCTTAACAAAGTTTTTAATGAAAATGTCTCTAGTTTATGCATAAAATTACTATAGCATTAGAGGGGAACTCTGGTTGGCATTAATAGCAAAATTATTTCATATTTTAATCTCTGTAAATGTGAGATTAAGATAGCTATGAAAAAAAAACTATACATCACTTATGATGGACCCTTACATTTGTTAGCCTGTGTTTTTTGATAGAAGTACCACAGTTTTATTTGGAGTAGCAGTGGTCTCAGTCTCTGATGATAGTTGGAATTAATTATAACAATCATGTGTTTTGCCCTCACTCTCCATAGTTCTTGGGAGAGCCATATGAACTAACTTTTCCCAGTGGAAAATAGGGCAAAATCAGCCATGGTTACAGCTAGTGTAGCATTGTCTTTGTCACAAAAGGACAAATTCAGCTGCCCCTTCTCTATTTTTTTCCTGCTTTTACTTAGTTATGATTCTTGGAGTTCCAGCAATCATCTTGTAAGCATGAAGAAAAGTCCATAAAAATAGCAAATATGTCTCTGTAAATTGCTTACAAAGTTCTAGAATACCAAATACATTAATAGTCACTAGTCTTTAAGAAATACATAGATATAACCAATATTGGCTATAAAAATGTCACCAAAACTGTGAAGAGACTAGGAATTATAGCATATGATCAACAAAATAAATAGAAATTTTGGGGAATTTTTGGCCACCCTCCCTCACTGGCATTAACTTGGAATGTAGATTATTTCTATTCCGTTAGTAATTAACCATAAAATGTTAACATGCACATCTAACTTGATAAGTCTAAAATGAACTGACATCTTTTCCCTTCTGATCAATGTGAAGTATTTTAGGACAATATTTCAAAACAGCCTCTCACATCTTACATGTTAGTACCCTAGTTTAGTATTCCTATTACCTTTCCATAGCAGCCCATGTTATCGTTGTTTTTGTTTTCAAATGTTTGATTCATTCACATGCTCCTAGTTCCTATTAGAATGAATTTTCTGTTTCTCACACTGCTTCTTTCAATTTCTTCCTTTTTAAATTTCCTTTAGTGAGTCTGTCTATAGCAGATGATTCCCCATTAGTTTTCCTATTTTTGTTTTTGTTTTTTTCTTTGGTACCAAGGATGAATTCAGGGGCACTCAACCACTGAGCCACATCCATCCCCAGGACCCACAGGATGATTGTGAGATCAAAGCCAGCCTCAGCAAAAGTGAGGTGCTAAGCAACTCAGAGACCCTGTCTCTAAATAAAATACAAAATAGGGCTGGGGATGTGGCTCAGTGGTCGAGTGCCTCTGAGTTCAATCCCTGGTACCCTCTGCCAAAAAAAAAAAAAAAAGAAATGGCTCTTAATCTTTGATGATTATTAGCCATCCTTGATCTGATGTTTGTATTCTGATTACTGCTTACTTCAGATTCAACAATAGAATAATTGCAGTCACTTATATAATTTGAAATTACTATCAAATGAAGCTATTAGATTCTTGTATCATCTTTCAGTCCCTTAAATCCAATTTCAAAAGACAAAAATTTATCTCCATTTACATTTTTTTGAAGAATACAGACTCTGAAATGCTGACCTGTTTGTTAAAAAATAATCATGTTCAGACCTTATATCATCATTCAGAAAATATTTAAATATAATAAATTTTAAAATTTAGATTGTTATATGTTTGTTTTGTCTCTTTATACATTCAAGGTTAAAACTTTGACTACCTGAGTATTTAATTTTTTTTTACAAGTAATGGCTTACTGTTATTATGTTTTAAGTATGGATAACCATGATTTAAAATTCTAATATAGTTTTGTGGAAAACTTACAATACATAAATTGTAACTATGCTCTTTTTTTTTTTATAAAACAGTGGGACTCAGTTAGGAGGTCTAATTACAGTACTGTGCTTCTTTTTCAACCATGGAGAGGTTTGTTTTTAGAAAAAATTAGGGTCTGTATAGGAACAAAGAAATATCATTAAAATAATATGTAATTTCATATTATTTGTAATTTTGCAATATTTTAAAGAACTTTATGTTGTAAGTTGATATTTTAATTGTGTTGATTTAAAGTTTTAAATCATTAGAACTAAATATATGAAATATCTTGCATGGGTTTTAGTAAATATTCACGTATATTCTGTAGAAAAGAGGAAACACTGTACTTGTCAAGTCAGGCACTTCACTTTACTTTGTTTATTTCTGACGAATCTTTGGAGGTAGTTTTTTTCCTCACCATACACATATGGAACTGAATTTTAGAGAGATTAGTTTCTTATCCAAGATTCACTACCTGATGTAGCTGGGTTTCTCATTCTATATCTGTGTAGTTTTAGATCCTCACTTTCCATTCTATTTATAAAATATGTACTTAACTTTTAATTGTCATGAACACTGAACATAAGACCTGCTCTCCTAAAAAAATTTTAAGTATGTGACATTAATAAAATGTTGTACAACAGCAGAGCTATAGGACTAACTCATCTTGCATAACTGAAACCTTATGCCATTGCATATATCCAAGGATGGAAGTGGCCTCAGGCCTGATGACATTCACTTGAGGCATTGCCACCCAACTGTCTCACTTCTTTCTATCATGTCATGGTCCGTTTTCAAACACAAATGCTAAATTTAAGATAGAAATTAGCTTACTAATTCATCCCAGAACGACATAAATTGCCTAAAAAAGAGCTCATAGAAACTTACTTGAAATATCATTGATTCACTTGACAAAATATTGAGTGTATACCATGTAACAAACTCCGTTAGATGCCAAAGATGTGGCAATAAAAAAGAATCTTACTGCTAACTTTTGGAATGGCACAGATTACATGGGAGAAAAGTCTTTTTATCTGTTGTAAGTGGGTTAATAAGTTATACAAGGGAATAATAAAAATTGCACATAAAATGCTTCAAATATATTAACTTAAAGCAAAAAAAAAATGCCTTGTAATTCAGGTATCTGTTAACATAAAAAGCCTTTTACTTGAGTGTGACAGACAGCTGGTGGTATGAGTTGACTTTGTGTGTGTGTGTATGTGCATGTGCACACACGTTCATGCGTAGTGATGGGAATGAACCCAGGGCTTTGCATATGCCAGGCAAGTGCTCTGCCTTGCCTGAGCTACATTCTTAGCCCAAGTTGACTTTTTTAACATAATTAATCTTTGAAGGTTTACAATTTTGATTTCTTAGAAGAACAACAATAAAAGACTCTTGCAAATTAAAAAGTTTAAATTCTTTCCATAATTTCTTTTTTTTCTTTTTCATTTTTTTTTTTTTTTAGTTGTGAAGCTGGGGATTGAACCCAGGGGCTTGTGCATGCAAAGCAAGCACTCTGCCAACTGAGCTATATCCCCAGCCCTCAGAATCTTTGATAAAATTTTTTTATAATTCTGACTCATATACCTATACGTCTTAGAAAGTGTTAAAGTATATACGAAAATTTAATGAATAATTTATTATATGCATTAGTTTGAGAAAGACACCCCCAAATTTTCAAAATATGGATAATTACAAAGCTTATGTACATGTATGATTTAAGAAAATAATATAATTCCACATTCTATTAGTGTGTCTGTTAGTTTGATGAATATTAGTGATCAACATGTAAAAGATTTTTTTCAGTTTTTAAAATTTGCAGTAAACTCTTTTAAAGATGTATGTCATAAATTCAGTGGTATCTTGGTATTTACAAATGCCCTAGGTGACATCTGTTTACATATTTTTTGGAGAGGTACACATCTCAAAGTCTGAAACTCCAGGATCAAGCCTGCAGGACTGGCACGTGGACCTGGTCCAGGAGTCTCACAGTCCCTATCCCTACCCTCTTCTTTGGCCTTTGGGTTTCCTTGTGCTTGGTATGAAGTATCTTTCACTGATTTCTGGAATAGGTAGTTAATCACTCTCTACTTAATGGCTGTGTGGAAGTGAGCTCCCAAACCTGAGAAGCTCTACTAGTGTCATCTCAGCTGTTTTTCTTAGACACAGAAATAGGATCTAGTGAGCCTAGTATTAAAATTTGTTAAGTAAGCCAACCCCTAAGTTTTAAATTAATAATGTTTGTTGTAATGGAACATGACATAAATTGAGCATTTTACTGATTTCAGGCTACCCGTGTAATGTGGACACCACCTCTCCGTGAAAGTTTTTCATATCCATTCCTTGTTCTTCAGATGTATATTTTAACTATGACTCTCAGGTAATTTTCATTTATACAAGAAAATGAAATAAATTCTAACTTATGTTTATAAAAATTTGCTCAATATATTGAATTGCAATTACCAAATATAGGTGATTTTTTTAAGTTGTTTTAAAAATAAAGAGCTGGGCGTGGTGGTGCACGCCTGTAATCCCAGCAGCTCAGGAGGCTGAGGCAGGAGGATCACAAATTCAAAGCCAGCTTAAGCAAAAGCAAGGCACTAAGCAACTCAGTGAGACTCTGTCTCTCAATAAAATACAAAAAAATAATAATAATAAGGCTGGGGATGTGGTTCAGTGGTCAAGTGCCCCTGAGTTCAATCCCCAGTACTTCCCCCTGCCCAAAATAAAAATAAATGAATGAATGAATGAATAAATAAATAAATAAAATGAGCGTAGAGTTAAGATGATAACCTAAAAATTACTATGTAAAAATTAATCTCAATTTAAGAGTTTAGGCTACAGGTTTTAGATAAATATATTATATCTCCATAGATCAAAATCTATGTGTTTATATATAGTTTGCAAGGACTAAATTTTTGTATTCTGACCCATCTTTTTTCCAATATGTGGTCTTGATGGAGCGTTAATACAGGTGCCATGAAAAATGTGCTCTGTGTACAAATTTGGGAAATACTGTGTTAGATAAAGATTATGTGTTATAATTTCTGAATAGGGGGGAATATATATATATATTCCCCCCTATTTCTTAATGGTGTTTCTAGCAATCAGCCAGTGTCATCTCAGCTGTTTTTCTTAGACACAGTTTTGGCTGGGATTAAGTTTAGAAGCATTTCAGAAATTTAAGAGGTCCGAGAAACAATATAAAATTAGTAGCAGAGTACTATAAATAACTGTCATAGTAATAAGTTTGATAGAATGTTAGTGGTAAGATCTCACTGAATGAAATAATGATCACTCCAAACTCTGAGGGAGCCTTATTTTGCTTCATTTTCGAATCCCTGGCAGTTTCCATCTTATATGAAAATCGTCTGTGTACATATATCTTCTTTCTTTCTTAAAAGTATTAATTTATGAATCATGTTTATGTACACAAATGCCTGCATCTACATATATGTATGTGTGTAAATATATATATATATATATATTAAAGTATACCCAAGCACAGACTATGCCGTACTGTGCTTTAACCACAGAGCACTTAGCATATTCCCATGCAAATATTTGAGGCCTTATATGATTGCTGATTAAATGAAGGCGACAAATGCATCCAGATGTGCTTACAAATCTTGAGAGACAGCAGACTAACCTCTGATGTGTCACATACCTGACAAGTTTATCTTGGTGTTGAATTTGTCTTTGGGAGTCTGCTTCCTATATACAGATTTGTATAGGTTTGGTTGGTACATCACCTCCTCTGAAAGATTATAGTGAAGGAAACCGCCAGTACCTCCGCCAACCCTTACCAGTTAAATTACCAGGAAGATTTATTGAAATTACATTAATCTGGCCAGACAGGGGTTCCTGGATTGAAATGTCCTACTTATATATTTTAAAATTATTCTTGAAGGCATGTGCTATATTCTACACCTTAGTCAAAAATGATTTTGCTTGATAAAATGCAAGATCACCAAGTGCTTAATGAATATTTTGTGATAATATTACTGACATTATATTTTAAATGCTGTTTTTGAAAAGTTATCTACTTTTATATAAGGATTTGTCAAAACCCAGTACAGCTTTTACAAAAGGAACTGTTGCTGTTTTATTATTTACATAAAATATATGTATTTCTTTTATCAGATTCTTAAATATACTCAACTTTTCTGTGATAAAAGGAATTGGTTACCAATGTGTTTTAGTATTGCAGAACAGACAATTTAAACTTCAACCATAAAGATTTAACTACATTCTGGAACTATTTTTAATTTGTTCTTTTAAATTTTTTTTGCCTTAAAATGATTCCATAGTTGTTAACTTATTTCCCCACTAGCACTTATAATTTTCCTCATTATTTTCTGAAACATAAAAATAGTAGTATATAAACATTATGTCTATGCATATAAGAAAAACATTGTGAGGCATGCCAGATTATTGTCATGTCCTATCTCTGACCTTCCCTGGGATATTAAATTCTGAATTTCAGGCATATTTACAGGGAAATAAACTTTTATATTTAAAATATTTTATCTAATTATAAATTTTGAAATATTGTTCCTAAAACTCTTTAATTATAGTTGTTCTACACTGGGCATTTTCAAGGCATTTTTAGTTCTTTTTAGTAAACTGAGTTCCAAAGTTAGCTGTTTTTTCAAAGGTAAGGGGATCATTTAGATTTTATTATTTTGCAAGTAGTCTTTTTCTTTATTTTTAAAAAATGATTGACTATGTTCGTGGTAAGACTTACTGGTATCATTTCTTTCCATTTAAGGACCTCACACAATAATGGAAAACATTTCATTGCACTCTGTGCTTCCAATATTGCTTTTATGCTTCCCTGGCAATTTGCTCAGTTTATACTTTTTACACAGGTAAGATGATTTTAAACTAATTTAAGTTAAATGTAACATTTTTTTTCTGTAGGAATTTTAACATGTGATTATATTTATGCCCTGAAAGACTTTTAAAATATAGAATAATTATGAGTGTATAATAAATGCATAATTTACAATGATTTAATTCCACATTCTATTAGTGTATTGGTTAGTTTGATGAATATTAGTGATGAAAATGTAAAGGATTTATAATTTGTTAACAAATTTTCTTTTTGGTTGCTGAGATAACATCTGTGAATCTATCTACCTGTGTGTTTTTCTTTTGCCTTACAACTCATTTTGGTGCCACATCACAAGATAGCTAAAGTCTTTCCTGCTCTTTATGATCTACTTCTAGTGTAGGGTTTCTACTTCTAGGGTAGCTGAATTCTGACCATTTTGTCTAAAGAGCAGAATTTGAGTAGGAACCATTTCTCAGAGCTTTTATCATGATATCACTTACAGGAATTGAGATATCCTGTTTCCCAAAACATCTAAGTAACTAATGTCAAGAAACTGAAATGGGTAGAGAAAATAAAAGAACAGTTCTGATGAAATTTCATGATACTAGGATTTTTCATTAGGGTTCCTTTCCACCTAACTAACAAACACTGATAATAATAATATCCTGTAAATTGAAAGTGAAAAATTCTGCAAAGAGGCCTCATGCTGCCAATTGTCCACAAAAAGTGCAATTATAACCTCAACTCAATTGACATTGCATGTTTAAAGAATGTTTCAAGTATTTCCACTGCTATACTTCCTTACAGATTGTTACACAGAAATTACCCTCTGGTTTTCATTTTTTTGCACATGCCAACATAATGGAATATATTTTTAATAAGCAACATTTCATTGTCAGCAAATTCATTAATCCAGTGGGACTGATGAAACTTTTTAAGAAACTCTTTGGGTAGGTTTGAATCCCTTAGTGTTTTCCTATGCACTCAGGATATCTGAGGCTTTTATTTTTTTAACTAATGTGTAGAGTTTTGTTTGTTCATACTAATGAAATAAATCTTTTGTTTTTCTGGAAATATTCTTCTCTATTGTGTCTTAGATTAAGGCTAAAATTAGTTCATGTCTCCAACCCATATTGTCTGAGAAATGAGAGTTATGGATTAAAAGTTTCCTTTTTTCAAAGGAAAATGTTATGAAAGACAATCATAGAAATGTAGAATATTGGGAATGGTAAGACCATAGATGTTATCATTCTAAGACACTGAGAAACTGTGATTTAGTTCTGGCAACTAAGTATTCTATATTATATTTTATTGGGGAATTCCAGGCATGTAGGAGTGATTGTTATGACTAAGGAAAGAGAAAGGAATAGTTGCAGAAAAGAAACTGTAAAATCAGAAATGATAGAAATGTGAATTATTTTCAAAGAAGAGAGTGTTGAGATTTTATACAAAACTGGTTTTCAATTTCATTTTCACTCACTATATAGCTGATTCTTTGGAGTACAAAATTAGGTCACATCTTTTTGAATATTTAAATGTGACTTCATGACCCCATCCTGTGTAAAACAAGAATGTCTACTGCTCTCTTTGAAGTTACTCCTTCTATTGTCAACAATTTATGTAGGCAAGGATCAATAGTAGATGTTCTATCCTTACTCCTGGCCCAGAAATCCGGCTGCTTGAATCTGAAGGATTCATCACTATCAGGGATTCTGTGTACTATGGCAGATGCCACCACGCTGCTGTTACAAAGCACTTTCCTCTTCTGCATGAGAACTTTCTAGCATGATGTTACTAGGCACATTGCTTGATGACTGCCTAATTGCACTAAGTTGGGAAGAATCTTAAGTGAACAAAGACTATCTGAGCTTTCTTGAGTAAGGAGGCTCTTTTAATGGCATTTCCCATATGGAGGCTCCTGTAGGCCAGGTGGCTCCTACATCTACCTAATGTGTATCTGATTCTTTGCTTCTGAGATGTAACCTGGGGGTAAGGCTGCTGTTTGGCTTCTGTGAGTTCTTTCTCTAAAGAGAAATGTCTGGCAAGTTAAATTTTCTGTCCTAAAGCTTTCCTAGTGATTTGAAGAAGACCTGTTGATGGGCATGGAAAGAAAAAAACTCAAATGTACCTTCTTAAAGACAAAAAGCTTTGGAACAGCCATATATTCTGGGTGCTTCATAATAAAATGGACCAGGATTCCCTGTTTACCCTTGGGAATGGCCCAACTCTTTTCAAGGGGAATGCAGCCATTCTGTCTCATAGCACACTGGAAATGCTAAAATATCTGAGTCAAGTCAAAGGTGGTTCAGCATCACCCACATGCCCTTTGTAGAACTAGCCTTTGCCTAGGACAGGATCTGGGACTTTAGTGTTAAGTGAGCTCATAAGTTCGGAGTCTTCCAGCCCATACTCTTTGTGTGTTTTACAAGTTCTTTGGGGTTCTATCTTGCTAGTTTAACCAAGTTAAGATTACACTAGGTTTTCAGAGATGTTCAAATATTAGTATATCTCAGAAAAAGGTTTCCACTTGGGGAAACTCCTGGTTGCTATACGACATGTTTTCCCAGTTCCTCCCTCTTCATTGAACTTCAAATCTCACACATCAAGAGTCTCAGTAATGATAGTCTTTTTTAAGTGAAGGAAACCTTCTGCTCAAAAAACAGTGTGTACCTGTTTGATCTATAATAACTGAAAGAAGCCACCAAAATATCCCCACCCCTGAGAGGATTTGATGTTCCTTCTGCTGGAAGTAGATGCAGCTTTTCTTATCAAAAATATCAACCTCCCTCTCTACAAGTTTATAATGATTTGAAGATTACATATACTTGTAAAAAAACTAATTAATCTATTACCTAGTTGCTTTCCTACATAGGAATCTACGTGTTACATTTTTCATAATTAGTAAATTTTTTCATCACCAGGTTGATCTTTCTATTGATCTTTCTATTGACACCTACAACTATTTTATCAAATAAACTGTATTCAAACAGCAAGCAAACAGAAAGCAACTTTGTCCCAATGCCCCTTAAAACCTGCTTTCTGGGCTGCTGCTTTTTAGGTAAAATCTCAGGGGATTCTATATGTTTTCCTTTCCTTTAGGCTGAAGAAAAGTATCACTTTATTAAATAAAAAATTTGAAATTCTTAAATGATGTGTCTTCAAACAAACAATATGATATACACTTTCACTTATTTAATTTCTTATTCAGTTTATTTCAATAATGCTTCATAGTTTTTTTTTCTTAGACTTGTCCCCAGGAATTTCTATTTCTCATGCATTTAAGAAATGGTGTATTTTAAACTTAAGTGTATAGTTCTAGTTAGGTTAATCAAGCTAATTTTGTTAATTATTAAAATATTCTAGCATGATTTTTGTATGCTTATTTCAATTAATAGAGGGGGTCTGTGTTAAAATCTTATGGTAGAATTGTCTATATCTCTTTTAGTTCTGTAAAGTGTTCAACATTTTGATACATTATTATTATGTACATAATTATCATATATTACTTTCATTAAAGTGCCTATTTATTGGTAGTGGTGTTTTTGCCTTAAAGCCTATATTTCTGTTATAATAGAGCCATATCACCTTTCTTTTAGTGTTTATATTGATCTTCCACCATTTTTTTATGTTCAGATTTTTCTGCATCTTTACATTTTAGATGTAATTAGTTTTTTAAAAATCTTGTTAAATAATACTGTCTTTAATTGTGTTATTCAGTCCATTGATGATGATGTAATTATTGATAATTAATTTTAAATTTATCATCTTTCTAAGGCAGTTTCTTTGTAATTGCCCCATTTGCTATGTGATATTTATACACCTCTTTCCCATCTGGCCAGCTGAATGCTTTTATCATTCCACATTCCTACAGTGTTTATTCGTTTAGTCATACTATTTTTTACTCTTTTAAAGATAACCTTAGAAATTAAAACATTTATTTTTGAGTTACAGTATAAATTAATACTATCACTTCTTCCCAAATAATACAAGCACCTTAAAACACTTTAAATCAATTTATTTTCCTTCTGGATTAAATGCCATTTGTTTTTTGCTATGTGTGTATGTCCATATATATTTGCATATATATATATATATATATGCATATATGTATGCTATATGTGTTTACATGTATACACACATATTTAGTTATTTTTAAACCTCATAGCATCTGTATTATTTTATATAATTAACTTTTATAAGATTAAGTAGATTTTTCACATGTTTATTTCCCTCTTGAATGCTTTCTGTCTCCAAGCTTCCACAGAGGATCTTTTTGCTGTCCAAAGAGCACTCATTAGTATTTTCCTTTAGTGTGAACCTGTTGGTGACAGTTTTTGCATTCTTGTATGAGAATGTTCAATTTGCCTTCTTTCTTAAAGGTAATTATCTCTGGTATAGAACTCAAGGTTGGGAATTTTTAAAATTTATTTTCTCAGTGTTGTGAAAATATCATCCCATTATCTTCTGATTCATTTCTGTTAAGAAGTTAGTTGTAAATCTTGTTTTTGAGGGCATTCTCAGTCTTCCCACCTCATCCCTACTTCATCCCACCCCACACAACCATATATTATATCCTATAATTATAGGGGATATATGATTATATCCTATAATCATATATCCCCTATAATTAGCATCTTGCATTAATATAGTACATTTGTTAGAACTAATAGACTAAAATTTGTATTTTATTACTAAAGGTCACAATTTATATTAAGGTTCTCTTTCTTTATACAATTCTATGAGATTTGACAAATGCGTAATGATATGTATCCACCATTATAGTATTGTTTTAGTCAGATTTTTCACTTCTGTGACTAAAAGACCTGACAACAACAATTTTGGAGGAGGAAAAGTTTATTTGGGGTTCATGGTTTTAGAGGTCTCAGTCCACAGACAGCTAGCTCCATTCCTCAGGGCTCAAGGTGAGGCAGAACATCATGGCAGAAGAGTATAGCAGAGGGAAGTGGCCCACATGTTGATCACAACATGGAGAGAGATACAAGATACACTTGCCAGATACAAAATATATACCCTAAAAGTATGCCACCCAATGACCCACCTCCTCCAGCCACACCTTACCCACCTTCAGTTACCACTCAATTAAACCCATCAGGAAACTCATTCATTGACTGGGTTAAGGCTCTCGTAACCCAATTATTTTACCTCTAAACCCTCTTGTGTTGTCTCATGCATGAGCTTTTGGGGGACACATCACATCCAAACCATAACAAATATATAAAATATTTTCAACATTCTAAAAAAATTCCTTGTGCTTCACTTATTCAACCCTACAACCCTATCTACAACACCTGGCAATGACTTTAACTGTATAATTTTACTTTTTTATAAGTCATATCATTGGAATTATACATTATGTAGTCTTTTCATACTGGCTTATTTTACTTAGCAATATGCGTTTAAGATTCCTCTATGTCTTTTCATGGCTTGATCACTCATTTTTATTGCCGAATAATATTTAAATATATAATTGCACCATAATTGGTTTATCCATTCACCTATTGAAGGACATTATGGTTGCTTCTAGGCTTTGGTGATTATGAATAAAGCTATCATAAACATTTGTATTCAGGTTTTTGAGTGGACATAAGTTTTCAAATGTTGGGTATGTATCCAGGCAGGCAATTACTGGATTGTGGGGTAAGGTTATGTTTAACTTTGTAAGAAATTGCTGATTCTATAAGTTTTGGGATATTAGCCATTCTGTCCTAATCATTTGTTATGGTTTAGGTATAAGGTGCCCCCAAAAAGCTCGTGTGGGGACTTGGGTGTACCTCAGTGGTAGAGCGCTTGCCTAGCATGTGTGAGGCTCCTGGGTTCAATCCCCAGGACCACATAAAAAATAAATAAATAAAAGTATTGTGTCCATCTCCAACTAAAAAAAAATTTTTTTAAAGGCTCACAAATGTGTAAGAATTTTCAAAGGTAAAGTGATTAGATTATGAGAAGTGTAACCTACCTTGGATTAATTCACTGATATGGATTAACTTGGTGGTAACTGTAGGGTGTGTCTGGAGGCAGTAGGTCACTGAGGGTTTGCCTTTAGGGTTTGTATTTTGTCCCTGGTGAGCAGAGCTCTGTTTCTGCTTCCTGGTTGCCAGGTCCCAAGCTGTTTTCCTCCTGAATGTCCTTCCTCCATAATGTTCTGCCTCACCTTGGTCCCAGAGCTATGGAGTTGACTGTCTGAACTGAGACTTCTACAACTAGGAGCTCCAAAATAAACTTTTCTTCCTTTAAATTGTTCTTGTCATATATATTGGTCACAGCAATGCACAAGCTGATTAAAGCAACAGTGATATCTCTTTATTGTTTGAATTTCAATTCTCTAATGGCATACGATGTTGAGTATCTTTATATGTTCTTGTTCTTCTTTATATGTTATTCTTCACCTTGTTCTCTGGTGAAGTGTTTCTTCAAAAGGTGTTTTGCCCATTTTTAATTGGGTTGTTTGTTTTCTTGCTTAGTTTTGGAAGTTCTTTGTGTATTTTGGAATTCTGCTATTTGAATTGCATATGTGTTTCGCAAAGATTTTCTCTGTCTCTAGCTTATTATTTAATTTTCTTAATAGTGTCTTTTGCAGAGCAGAAGTTTTTAGCTTAATGAAATTCAGTTTACAATTTTTTTCTTTCATGGGATATTGGCTTTGGTGTTATATTTAAAAACTCATCATCAAACCCAAGGTCCACCTAAATTTTCTCCCATATTTTCGGTTTTATAGTTTTGATTCATACCTTCAGGTTTAAAATCCACTTTAGGCTAATTTTTTGATGTAAGGTCCCTATCTAGAATCCTTTTCTTTGCATTTGAATGTACAGTTATTCCAGTACCATTTGCTGAAAAGACTATCTTTTCTCCTCAAAGTTTAGCTACCTGCCTTTGTGTGTGTTTATTTCTAGACTCTGTATTTTGTTCCATCTATCAATTTGATATTCAATCTTGATTTATAGTATAGCTTTATAGTATGTTAATTTCCAGTTGCTCTTACGAGTTTTCTCTTTGCTATTGTTCTTCTGCAGCTTTTAAAATGATATGCCTATGTCCTCAGGATTTTGTGGAGGTTTGTTTTGTATTATTTTGTTTTTATTCTTCCTTGGGAATTTGTGATACTTCACAAATCATTGCTTGATATTGCCTATAAATTTGGGGGAAGCTCCTTGCTATAATTCCTTTAAATATAGCTTCTACCTAATTTTCTCCTCTAAGATGTAAAGTATAACATAACTGATCTTTATTCTTGTGTTCAGATAAATTTCTTGTTCTTTTATCATTTTGTGCTTCCTTCCAAATGTGTTCTTCTGATCCATCTTCTAGTTCACCCAATTTTTTATTTGGCTGTGTTTATCCTGTTTTTAAACTCATTTGTTAATGTCTTGATATTGATTATTTTAATATTGTTTTTAAATTTCATTTGGCTTTCTTTTTTTGTGGTACTGCAGATTGAACCCCCAAGCATGCTCTATCTCTGAGCTACATCCCAGACATTTTTTATTTTTAGACAGGGTTAAGTTGCCCAGTCTGACCTTGAACTTGTGATCTTACTGCCACCTGAGTAGCTGGGATTATGAGTGTATACCATGGTGCTCAGCCAATTTGATTTCCCCCACTTTTTTTTAATGACTTGTGCTCTCTTAGAATATTCGATCCTATTATTTCCTTGAACATGTCAAGCATAATTTAAATTTATGTTTGATGATGCTAGACATGTTTTTGAGTGATTTGCAAGCTAATAATTGTTTTTATATTTCTAAAGTATTGCAGAAAAAAATTTTAAAACAGAAAAGAAGTCTATTCAACAGGGTCCATATGTGTCCCATAAAGCATAACATGTTTACTATTTGGCTTTTTACCTGACAAGTTTACTGATGTCTTATCTAGATCCTTTACAACGTGTTTTTACAGTTTTTGTGATACTGTCTTATCTCCTCTTATGCTTGGCAATTATTTGATATGGCATAGAGCTAAATTAAGGCTAAGTTGATATGAACTTTCTCCAGACAAGATTAAATTTGCTTCTAACAGGTAAAGAAAGGCACTAACAATCCTGAAATATCTTCATGCAATTAGATTGAGATGATGCAAATGTGGGTTTCAGTCTTTCTGAGGGCTGCTTGATTTCTGGTTCACTCTTAGACCAAAGTCTGGGAGTCTACAAAGCATTCCTTCCTTGGTGTACCCTGCTTTCCTATCTGCCTAAAATGCCTGCTCTGCTTACTCGTCTCTCAGCTGCCTCTCAGCTAGAAGCATCTGCCTCTGTTGGAACTGAGAGAAAAGGAATCCAAAATGTCATGCTCATTACTATAGATTTACATCTTTTTCCTGGTTTTATTTTGCTAATTTCTAATTTGCCTTGTTAATAATCTATGGTTTTCATACTTACATACTTTTTTATATTCTTACATATATATGCATATATATATTTATATTTTTTCTTAGCTATTCTACTTCTTAGTTGAAAGTGGTTCAAATTACTTTGCCTGTTGTTATCAGAAATAGCTCTCCCTCTTATATTTACTTTGCCTATCAACAGTGAAGTATTTGTTTATTATAATTTTTTCAATTTTGCATTTTATATATTTTTTTTCAGATAGCCTCATTATTTCCCATGTACGTTGTGGGGTACATTGAGCCAAGCAAATTTCGGAAGATCATTTATATGAATATGGTAATATTTTAAAAATTCATAAGTCAAATATTAAAATAAGCTCTCAGAGTTTATAAAACATGAATAATTCTGTTTTAATGGGACACTTCCTTTTGGTAGTATTTAATACATAATGATGTCAATGGCATCTAGAAGGAAAACTGAACTGTCACAAATCTTGTATTATAGTTGATTATACTTTCAACTAAACTGTAGATGTGTTGTGCTTTCTAAAACTTTTATTTTTTAAATTTTTGTTTTATTTATTATTGTCACTACTTTTGCAATTGTCTTTCTCTAATACCTAAGATTTTTGAACTTTGCATAAATATGACACTCTGCAATTGAAATTTTATGTTGTTCAAGTACATGAAAAAATGCTCACCATCTCTAGCTGTCAGAGAAATGCAAATCAAAACCACCCTAAGATACCATCTCACTCCAGTAAGATTGGCAGCCATTATGAAGTCAAACAACAACAAGTGCTGGAGAGGATGTGGGGAAAAGGGTACTCTTGTACATTGCTGGTGGGACTGCAAACTGGTGCGGCCAATCTGGAAAGCAGTATGGAGATTTCTTGGAAAGCTGGGAATGGAACCACCATTTGACCCAGCTATTGCCCTTCTTGGACTATTCCCTGAAGACCTTAAAAGAGCGTACTACAGGGATACTGCTACATCGATGTTCATAGCAGCACAATTCACAATTGCTAGACTGTGGAACCAACCCAGATACCCTTCAATAGATGAATGGATAAAAAAAATGTGGCATTTATACACCATGGAGTACTACGCAGCACTAAAAAATGACAAAATCATAGAATTTGCAGGGAAATGGATGGCACTAGAGCAGATCATGCTTAGTGAAGCTAGCCAATCCCTAAAAAACAAATACCAAATGTCTTCTTTGATATAATGAGAGCAAATAAGAACAGAGCAGGGAGGAAGAGTAGGAAGAAAAGATTAACATTAAACAGATACATGAGGTGGGATGGAAAGGGAGAGAAAGGGAAATTGCATGGTAATGGAGGGAGACCCTCATTGTTATACAAAATTACATATAAGAGGTTGTGAGGGGAATGGGAAAATAAACAAGGAGAGAAATGATTTACAGTGGATGGGGTAGTGAGAGAAGATGGGAGGGGAGGGAGGGGGGATAGTAGAGGATAGTAAAGGTAGCAGAATACAACAGTTACTAATAGGGCATTATGTAAAAATGTGGATGTGTAACTGATGTGATTCTGCAATCTGTATTTGGGGTAAAATTGGGAGTTCATAACCAACTTGAATCTATTGTATGAAATATGATATGTCAATAGCTTTATAATGTTTTGAACAACCAATAAAAAAATAAATTAAAAAAAAATAAAAATAAAAAGTATATAGATAAAAAAAAAGAAAGAAATTTTATGTTGTTGAACTTTGGTTTTTATCTTAGTTCACAAATGTATTTTCCTTTAAAATAAAACAAGAATAAAGCTTCATAAGTGATGCAAATTATGTAGTAATCAAAATAAGATTAGGAAAACTAATATTTGCTAAAATAATAAACTAATATTTATTCTTTAAATATTTTTATTATGTTATTCTATTATTGAAGCAGTAGAAATAAGAGTTAATTTTTCCTTTATCCAAGTAGCAGATACAGAAAAAATATATTATGCTGTATAGATTTTATGATCTTGAAGTTTAATACTTAGTACCTTATAGTAACTTAAAATTCTATTATAATTAGGCCAAGAACTATTAATTTTCTTTATACAAACAAAATTTGCATTATAAGTGGCTGTTTGCCTCTGAAGTTTGAATTATACTCTTCATGTAATAACTATGAAACATGAGTTTGTTTTTTCATTTTTCAGATTTCACTTTTCCTTTGTTTCATTTTGATGTTTGGAAATCCAATGTACTTATCTTCTTATTATTCTTCATCTTTGTTAATGACATGGGTAAGTGTTGTTAAGTTTATGAGTTTTCTTTTTTTCATCCATCAAATAGCAGGCTTTTCTGTCTAATGTAAGCATAGGAGAATGAATATGGCCCTTTCTCATTATCTTTTAACTTGAGAAAGTTTTCCCCAAGTAAAAACTTTTTCTGTATCTCATCCTTGAAATACAGTATAGTACAGTTTCCCTGTTTAAAGCAGTATACAAATAAATTAAAAAGTATTATGTAATAAGACTGACTTTTTTCCATGGAAAATTTAAATTTATTCATTTTTAGAATTAAATTGTCAAATTCCAAAAATAAATAAAGCAAATTTTATCTTAAATGCATATACATTAATTTTAGATATGATATTTTGAAGCATGAACTTTTAAAATTATATATTTGCTATTAAGAAAAGAATTGTAATAGAGTTTATTCTCTTCTGAATGCTATACAATTTTCCAAGTACCCCATTCTCAAATACTCTGAGAATACTACATTATGTTTGCTATTGTGTTTATCTGCTTCTCCTACTGACCTGTATGTGGGGCTTATCATGAAGGCTTTATTCATGTTTATTTATATTTGTACTTTCAGAAATAGATTAATGCTTAAAACATCACAGGTTCTCTAAAACTATTTGCTATATAAATGAATGAATAATAAAAAGTTATTTTCTATGTTGACGTTTTCTTAAAAAATATTAGATCATACAAAACACAATATTATAAATTTATAAATAACAATACAGCCTGTAGAGAATAAACGTTCCCTTATCATTTAGCTACATATTTGAAGCCACTTGGCTTAGTATCGCTATCATTAAGAAATTTAATTTGAAAGGACATTTTGAGTAGATAAGTACTCTAATCAGTTTGAGATATTTGTTGTTATTTTGCAATCATAATTCCTTTTTCACAAGCACAGATTTTTTATTACTTAAAATACAAATTGAGTTAGACTTTTTCATACACTTTTTAATATCATAGAAGATTTCTTGGTTCTTTGGAGTCAAATAAGCTTTTGAAATAAACAGAATAATAGAGTTTTAAATTTTGTTGTGAATATTTTCTTTTCTTTTTTTTATTAGTTGTTCAAGACAATACAATGATCTTGACATATCATACATTTGATTCAAATAGGGTATGAATTCTCAGTTTTCTACGTGTACAGATTGCAGGATCACATTAGTTATATATCCATGTGTTGTTGTGAATATTGATGAAATGAAAAAAAATCTGCCATTAATTAAAAATAAGAGATATAAACAGTTATTTTAGAATGGAGTAACTTCAGAAAGAGTATCAAAGTTCTTAGTCACGTATTAAAATAAATTTCATGATTCAACTTGTGTAATTTCCACAAAGAATAAATAAAAGTTATAATTTTTCTAATATTTCACATATATAAATTGTATTTGTTAATATATTAGCTTTGTATAACAAGGAGGTAGTCATATATTCTATTATATTCCTCTATCATTGAAATGGATGAAGTATTATTTGGGTTGAAGTATTTTAGACCTAGAAAGATTTCTGAATGAAATATGTTAATTATTTTTTATTATAAGGATGAATAATTTGAGAAATAACTAACTGGAGGTTACATAGCACAATAGGGTAGAGTGATGATTGAAGTATAGATTTTGTAAAAAAAAAAAAAAATATTCTTTTTAATCAGCCTCGTTGCCACTTTCTGTTCCAAGACTGGATATACACAAATCCTTTCTGTATTCTAAAAAACTTTTGAGGTGCTGAATGATCTCATATTTTAGGTCAGATGTAAAATATTTTTACAGATTTTAAATTATTGCAATGTGAATATCAAAAACTATCTCATTGGGTAAAGTATTTGAAATTAACCTTCAATAATATAGCAAATATCTCCACTTCTGTTTCCTTTTCTCCATGTTTTCTCATGTATGTATGCATATAGGGTTTTTTTTGTGTTAACTAACACAATTTATTTATGAGTAAAACAAAATAAGTGAGGTAAAAATTTGGAGAGAGACTGATTTTATTTCCTTGAGCAATGACAACATAATTAGGATAAGTATATCGTCTCCTCACCTAACTTAACTCTCACAGAATGATATTTATGTGGATATGTTTGGAATGATGGTTCCATGGTCAGTTGTAATTCTTTTAGGCACACTTTTGATATACATAAGCCAGAATCTGGAATAGTCTCTGCTACTTTCCATTTACACACTGATCAAATATGATACCATCCACAGTATTGCACTTTATATAGCACTTCGCTGTGTGCAGATGATTATGAGATTGTTTATAGATTTTAACGTTTCTGCTTCCTACACCTTTTTTTCTCTTGGTAATCAATCTTTTCACTTTCTCCTTCCCCACAAAATGTATTCTTGTTGTTTTCAACATTGTCTCATACTTTTTTAGCATTACAAAGTGGTGGTGTCCATACATCAGCTACCTTTTCAGGTATTTAAACCTTACAGAAAAAGTCCATCATAACTATTTGAGAAATCAACTTAAGAGGCAAATTTTAGCACACAAAGCACTTAGCTATGTCATGTCCAAAATTTGAAAAGTCAACAATTAATTAGGAAAATGGCTGGTAATAGTTGAGATGGAGCAGGAAGAAAAGATTAACATTAAACAGATACATGAGGTGGGATGGAAAGGGAGAGAAAAGGGAAATTGCATGGTAATGGAGGGAGTCCCTCATTGTTATACAAAATTACATATAAGAGGTTGTGAGGGGAATAGGAAAATAAACAAGGAGAGAAATGAATTACAGTGGATGGGGTAGAGAGAGAAGATGGGAGGGGAGGGAGGGGGGATAGTAGAGGATAGGAAAGGTAGCAGAATACAACAGTTACTAATAGGGCATTATGTAAAAATGTGGATGTGTAACCGATGTGATTCTGCAATCTGTATTTGGGGTAAAATTGGGAGTTCATAACCAACTTGAATCTAATGTATGAAATATGATATGTCAATAGCTTTATAATGTTTTGAACAACCAATAAAAAAAATAGTTGAGATGGAAAAGTCTGGCTTTGTAGTTTTTGAAAGGTTCCTTTCATATAAAATATAATTGTTAATTTTATTTTCATTTTCTGTTATGTGTATTTTAGGCAATAATTTTAAAGAAAAATCAAATTCAAAAATTGGGAGTTTCTGAACTCAACTTTTGGGTAAGTTTCAGGTTTTTTTTTTAAACACAGTTTCTTTAATCTCAATAGCTACTTTCAAAGGTAGAAAATCATCTTCAGATGTCATTTATTCTTTTTCTCTGGGTCTTCAATGTGCTCCTATTTTTAAAAAACCTTCAATATTGAAGAGTTATATGTTTACCTATTATATATTGAAAAAGTGAAACTAGAAAAGTTATATTAAGATGAGGTAATAGATTTTTCCACAGAATTCAAAAGCAGGAAATGGAAAGCCTGTTTGTGCTTTCTGGAGGCATTTTTTTTATCCCTTTTAGTGAAAAAGTAGAAAGATTTGATCACTAAGTTGTTGGATGACATGAGACTTCTAATATATGATATTTTTCACTTCAGAAAAATTAGGCAATTTGATAACTCAAAAGAAAATCAAAAATTTAATCACAAACTATTGAAAAATAACAAGTAAAACAATGCCCTTAGTCATTTAAGGAATTCTGCCAAGCAATACTTAAAGGAAATTTTTTTTTTACTTAAATTACATTTCGACTGCATTTTCAGCAATAGACTTGGAACAATAAGAATTAACTAAGCTATAAACTCAAGAATATCAAAGAAACAAAAGTCTGAGTATAGAAAAGTTGGCAACAAACAGAAAACATAGCTTTGAAAATATGCTTTACATATCAGAAAGAAAAAATATATAGTGTTTGATTAAAGCTAACAAAATATGACAATATTTACATGGTGAAACTTATGTTTAAATTTTTAAGACATAAAGAATATCCCACTAAATAGAAAAATAAACCATGTTTATGCATAGACAAACTCCTTATAATCTCACTTCTTCCCAGGTAATGTTTAGATTCCAAGGAATTTCAATAAGATTGACTTGCTGGTCACTTTTCAATGAATGATGCTGGAATAATTTGTTATTTATATAGGGAAAATTCACATTATGTACAAATACCATTGTGCCATTATAGATGGTTTCAAGCTGGATCTTTTATCCCTTTGACCTGCCTCCACAAGTCTTTGGATGCTTGCATACATTCTGACTCAACAAGATGCACCAGGCTCATCTTGTATTTTTCTTGCCCCATCCCTAGAATCAATCCTGGTTCCTTTTAGTGGAGAAAGGTATTTAGAACTCAAGACCTGAGTGGTAGGTATTCTCATTAATACCAGACCTTTTTATTTTTTGAGACGGGTCTTGCTTATTTGCTGAGGCTGACCTTGAACATGGGATCCTCCTTCCTCAGCTGGGATTACAGTCTTTCACAACTGTGCCTGGCTGTATGTTTCTTTTATTCAGTTTGATGCTAGCCAAAATCACTTGCCAGGAGGTTCAGAGGAATTTTTTAAAAATAGTTTTATTAGAATATGTCTTGAGTTAGTTTACATACAGGTTCAGTTTTCCTAGTGCCCATTACATTCAAATGTACATTCAGGTTGTCTTATTTGTGGAAAATTTTCTTGGATTATAATTTAAAATACCAGCTCTGTGTGATTCATTGTTTTTCCAGTTTTCCAGTTCAACAGCTTTCTCTGATCTTTTTAACTCTTTTCTGATCTCATTTTCATTCTTTGTGGTTGTTTTATAGCCTAAAAATGTTCTTATTATTTTTTTGTTTGAATCTTTTAGTCATTTTTAAAAATAATAGTCTTGATTTTCTGGTATTCTCCTTTTCTTCCATTCCTCTTCTGTGTTTAATAAATTTTGTTTTTTCTCATTTCTATTTTTTAGTTTTTAAATTTATTATTTAAGCTGATTTTTAAATATTTATACCTTTGGAATACTTACCTGATTGTCTTAAGATATTTAATTCAGGTCTTATTTCTGCATAGTGTTTTGTTTTGTTTCTGCATTGTAAGCTTAGTGTTGTTTGGTGGTATGGATTTCATCAGCTAAAATATTTGACTCAAATTTTTTCTTATCTTTTTTATAGAAATTTTTTTACAGACATATAGGCATCTTTTATCTAATTATTTTATAGACAGGATTGGTGTTTTCTAGTTCAAGTACAACTACTTCTATCAATATAGAAAATTTTTTCAGTAAATATAACTTTTTTCTTCCCCTTTTCTCTGTTTCTTCTTCTCTCTCCTCTCTTATCTCCTTGCCCCCCCCCCCCCGGCTTTGTCCCTCTCCCTCTCCCCCTCATGATGGCAATCATGGCTGATTATCTTTTTATTTTTGGTTGATTGTTCTGCTGAATATTAAATTTTCCCTTCCTACTTCTATTTCCTTCACCATATTTTTCCAAAGGGATTTTCTCCCTGTTTATCCTCCTTTCTATCCCAAAGGAATGCTTTTCTGAGACCTAAACCATTTACCCCACTCAGTACCTGGCCTCAGTCTTCAAGGGCTTTTCTCTTTCCCAGGGTACTTGAGTTCAGTTCTGCCCCCTCACTTCCCTCTTTTCTTTTCTCTGTACTTTGAGGGTCCTCCCTCATTCTCTGCAAAGGCTTAGGTCAGGAATATGAGGTACAACTCTGCTGTATTTGTTGTTTACTTTTCCATTTATGGGTAGTTTGAAGTTCATACTGTTGTTTCCTGCATTTGCCATTGTGTTATTCTACTTGTTGGCTGGTATGTGGAGAGATTTGGATTTAGGCTGTTATAATTCCTCTCACTACCCTGAGTCTATTTTCAATCAATGCTGGACAAAAACTTAAACAACTGTAATAATAAAATCCAGGAGCCTCCTTGTCTGTTTTAGTACACAGTTCTCTTCTGAAAATGAAAACTTCAGTGTTCAAATTTCAAATTTTAGACTTTTTTTTTCTTGAAGAGAGACTTATGTATTTCTAGAGTGAGAAAAGAGCTTAGTGTTTTGAAAAATGCATTTCAGCTGAGTAATAATATTTGGAAATAAATACATAACCACTGTCTTTTCTTAACAAAATTTGAAAGAAATACCTTTTTATAGTTTCCTTTACATTTAGGATATATAGTGCTCTATTATTGTTGTGTATTTTGCAGCAATGTCATCAATTTCAATTCTTTGCTGTTAAAATTTTCTAAAGGGGCATCTTTTTTTATAGCTCACAATATATGTATTTTACTAATGTTCCTCACATGATTAAATCATTCTATGTCACATATAGGTATGATTGAACATTTTAATGAGTAATAAGATATTTTTAATCTTGGGCTTCTGTTTATTTCCTAGCTAATTCAAGGTGGTATTTGGTGGTTTGGAACTGTCGTTTTGAAATTTCTGACCTCTAAAATCTTAGGTGTTTCAGACCATGTAAGTACTTTCTAATTAAAGCATTAAGTTTCTAAAAGCATGTAGCTGCATTAAAACCTTAAAACAATCTATTCTTTTCTCTTCATTTTACAGAGAATCCCATTTCTTTAAGGTTCCCAGACTATTTATTTGCAGATTTATTAATAAAGTCCTGCAGATCAATGGTCTTTGCAAGAGCTAGGAAAAAAGTGTATCAGTGAATGCTAACTCAGTCTTCTAGGAAAGAAAAAATTACTAATAATTTGTATAGTTATTTATAATATTTTAGGTAAAATACATATAGTTATTTAAATGTTTTTTCGTGTTTATAGATTTTTAACATTGCTTGGCTTCAAAATACAGAACTAAATATCTCAATGTGGTTTTATTTATGGATAATTAAGGACTAAATTAAGATATGATTTGATATTTTTAATCTTTAATGGTTATATAAAGAGAGAATGCTAAAAGTTCTCAGTCTTTCAACTTTTAAAAAATATATGTGGAGGGCCTGGGATTGTATGTAGCTCAGTGGTAGAGCACTTTCCTAGCATGTATGAGGCACTGGGTTCTATCCTCAGCATCACGTAAGAATAAATGATATAAAGGTATTGTGTCCATCTACAACTAAAAAATAAAAATAAAAAGGAATAAGCTTTTTAAAAATATATGTGGAGTCTTATCTCTTGTGTGCTGTTTATGTGTTTTTCAAAGCTAATATCTTAAGCGATGGCCCTTTTCTAGGCCTAAGTCCCTACTTAACTAGTTAGTTTATGGAATAGAAAACAATGCATAAAGTTACATTTGATTTATAGCACTTTCTGTGAAGAAATAATCATACATGATCATATCATACCTTAATGTATGAAATTCACCTTACTTAGTACTTTCCAATACTAATATCCTCTCTAATATTGAAATTATGCTAACTGGAGCAAGTGATTATGATACTTCCTCTCTAAAAAGCCAACTACTGTTTCTATCCAATAAAACATGCATACATTTTGATGTTAAATAAAATTTCTAAGTGTAAACATTCATTTACTATTTATTGCTGACTTTGAATGGTGATTTATTAGTTTTATTTGTTGTGTTATTGTCTGATATATCTGACATACTCCCTTGTACCCTTCCTTTTTATTGTTATTAGCTTTTTTAATAGATTATTTTATGATAAAGTTTATTTAGGCCTTCTAAGTTATTTATTTGTCAATTGAGAATGGTCTCTGATTTTTGTTTCTTTTTGTCACCCAACTCTTTACAAGAAACACAGGTATCCTCCCTTAGTAGTCTTCAATGAGGACTTGAAAAACTTGAAATTCTAGTGGTTTGATTAACTTCTTTTTAGCCACCAGGATAAACTCAGAATTGGAAAAAGAAAGAGCAATTCTAAATTTGTTTTGGTACTGGTAGATAGGAGGAACAGTGAATGAACATGAAACACTCATAATTATCAACTTGGTATAAACAATTTCTGTCCCTATCAAATAATTTGAATTAGGGTTTTAGTGCCAAATATTTTTCTTTTTCTGGTCTTCTAAGAATTCAGTGCAAAAATAATTGTCTCACCAACTGTAGACAGTAAATCATTAGTGGATAATAGGAGCTCCACAGTGGGATTGTGTGTGGCATATAATTTTAATGCCTTAAGAGCAAGTAACTAAATCTAGATATATAATTGTTCTGATTCTTATGAGGAATAGCTTTCATATTTAATGACTCAACTGTATGTTTAAAAAAATGTGAAGAAATACCAAACATAATCAGCATCTGAGGCTTTGTGAAAGTTACAGTGCACAGAAAGTTTGTTTATGATTTATAGTGTGTGGTGAAAGGTGAAATGAAATCTTTGGGGTGAAATTAACCTTTTAAATAATAAATTATCTGATTATAAAATCTCATGATTTTGAACTGCATAGTCGTTTCTTCCCAACAAGGGCTGATTTTAGCTTTATCATGTTCTCTGCTTATTTTTATCTGACCTCTTTCTCATTTTTTTTCACTTGATATTTCTCTTTATTTTCAGTTTATCTTGATAAGTCAGCATATAATACATTTGATTTACTGCATTTTAGATACATCTGTGTATCTTGGATTTATCTGCTCTGTAGACTTCATGACTCTTACATCAAATTAATTATTACTGACTATAATTATTTGTGTAATTTTAATTCATTTTACTTTATTTTTTTTCCAGATTCGCCTGAGTGACCTTATAGCAGCCAGAATCTTAGGGTATACAGATTTCGACACCTTAGTATATACCTGTGCTCCTGAATTTGACTTTATGGAAAAAGCGGTATGAACATTTCTTTATTTTTTACTCTTTAGTTTTTCCTTTAATCCGAAATTCCAAATTTTTACACAAAAAATGCCCAACTTACTTACTATATCATTTTAACTATAACTTTGTTAACCATATGACCTGTAAAATCAATAACTAATAGTCCCTATCTTAAGTTAAAAATACTGCAAATATTATGAAACTTTTTAACATGTTATTGTCAAAAAGGTATATTATTAATAAGTTAATAAATGTATAAAATTTATTATAAGTTTTAGAAATTCAAGTATTATCTTTTAAAAGTGCTCAAGTTATATAAAGTTCATGGTATTATCCTTTAAAAAAGCTCAAATTTTAAGCTTTAAATATTTGCTTTCTCATAGAATCATGAAAAATCAGAGCAGGAAAGGATCTTAGTAACTGTGTAACATAATTCTTTCTTTTGCAGATGCAGAAAGAAAAGCTTGTGAGTTCTAATTGCATCCTAGAACTCCCAATTTATTGTTCTTTCCTCTCTCTGAGGCTTAATTTTTTTCTTCAAAGACAATTAAGAAATTGTCACTGGATCAGTCCTTGTCTACTAATTAGTGGTCAATGTTATAATGAAATTTTACATTATTTTCTTTTCCATCCAACCAGTCATATATTCATTGAAAAATGGTTATTGACCACTAAGTATATGTGAGGAAGTTTGCTGTGGGAATACAGAGGAAAATGATCTTGCTCTTGCTTTCAAGAAATATATAATTTAGTTACACAGCAAATCACTCCATATCACAAGAACAGGTCATGAGAATATCTACCTGATGTGCTGTTTCTGCTTTCATTCATATTATTAGTAATTACTTTGGCTAGTTTTCCTCCTTGTTAGCTCCAGTTTCACTAATGAAAGTAACAGAACTTTGCAGTATAGGAAATGACAACATGTGGCCTAGGCATCAGTAGACTCACATGTTAATACTTAATATTATTAAATAAGGAAAAAAATCAAAAGAAAAGACAATATTATAGAACTAACTTAGGTTTAAGAGTTTTTAATTAATTTTTTGAACACTTAGTATTAACTATTTTTATATTGGAATGTGACCGCTGATAAATATATATATTATGCTAATTACAATGATATTTTACCTTTAAGAAATATCCTTATTGCATTCAGTTTGACATAGATTTTTACTAACAATGTAAAATTGAATAAATAACTATTTTTGAATAATTTGCTATATTTCAGACTCCACTGAGATACACAAAGACATTATTGCTTCCAGTTGTTTTGGTGATTACTTATTTTATCTTTAAAAAGGTATTTTAAAAAATTTTATTACTTGTTTTTGGGTTCAAGATAAAGATTATTATAGATTAATGCTAATTTCTCAGAATTTCTTCCTATTTTTAGAATTATGTTTTCTCTTTCTAATAATTTTTATTCAGGTCTTACTTTATATAGTATTATACTTTTGTTGTAGAAATACACATTATTAAAGAAATTTTATTCCTTCAAAAGATTTTATCAATCTCTTACTATATATGAAGACCTACATTAACATTGTAGGTATGTTGGACAAATAAAACACACCCACTTCTGTCTTGAATAGTCCTGCGGAGTGAAAAGTGGCAAAAATTAAACAAATAATCATATTAAAAGTTAAAGAATTATTAATTGTAACATGTGCTATGAAATCAAAGTAAAGTGCAGCTTTAGTGTCTTCCAAATATAAAGCACATTCAAAGAAATCTTGAGACACACAGGGAAAATTTGTATAGTCATTTAAAAATCTCTTTCTACATGTTCACTGTCTTCACGGCAGAGGAAAATAATATCATAATAAAGAAATCTTTAAAATACCTCTGGCAGATGTTTTTGGTCTGGGAGTGGTTTATTTAAGAGCCTATTTAATGACAGTAAATTTCTAGGGTTATGTATCTATTTAGCAATTTTGAACCATGTTTATTTACCAATTGTCTTGCTACAAGTCATGTATTTATTTTAGATTTTAAAGCAATAACATGATTTCTCTACCACAATACTATTTATGGTCCTGTTGAAAGTCAAATTGCACACCTTCTGTACGGAATTTCCACATCCACATTTCTCATTCCTCTGTTTCACATAGACTATAAAGTTGGTGGGAAAGAAAAATAGGAATATAGATATGTAGAGAAAGTGATTATTTGATTGATTCCTAATTTGCTAGGGAGGCCAAGATAAAATAGTCTCGAAAATACATGGAAGAAGCTGACTCCTTTGTAGATAACAATACACTCCTACTCTACTCCCTGGCACAATAAAAATGTAAACTTACAATATTAGAAACTAGTTATCCACATTATAAAAGTTAGAATTTTGGAGCTGAAGTGGAACTTAAGATTTATTCTAAAACATTTTTTTTTCTAATAAAATCAGAAGTTATAATTTTAAAAAGTTATTTGCCTAGGGCAGAGCTGGGACTAAACTATTCCTGAGCACTTACTTTAATGTTCAAAAACACTTCTTTCTAGTTTAGGATGTTTATATTAATTAATCAGAGCACTTGAAATGTTACAATGTTCCTTAGAATAATCTCATTGATTTGATTCTATTCACAGACTTATCGTGATATTTTATGTGTCTTATCTACAAACACTTATCTAAGGTAAATGTTTTTAAAACATATCAGGTTAAATATGAAATATATTACTGAAATATTAATTTTTCAGATGAATGTACATTAAACATTATGGTTAAGAGATATAGGAACTATGGCTGGGGTTGTAGCTCAGTGGTAGAGCGCTTGCCTAGAGTGTATAAGGCTAAGGCACTGGATTTGATTCTCAGCACCACATATAAATAAATGAATAAAATAAAGGTCCATTAACATCTAAAAACATATATATGTAAAAGAAAGGAGAGAGATAGGAACCAAATTTAGATGTTTATTTTTTAAAAAAACAAGACTGTTCTTATGGATTTCTTTTATGAATTCAAATTTGTTTTGGAGATATTTATACTTGTGAAATAGTTCAAAGTTTAAATTGATTAAAATTTAATATGTCACTAGAATTTAAAGTAATAAACCTGAATTAAATTCAAAATTTAATTTGGTCAGGCTTATTTCTTTTTAACTTTTAAAGAAAGTACAGTTGTTTTTCTGAATATTAATGAAATGTTTTTATAAACTTATTATTAAAACTGTTTGTTGTGTCATATTTTTAGTGATTTTAGTGAAATTACTAGAATATAAGGCCTAACCAGATGCCAACAAAAAATAACATGTCTCAGATGTCACACATAGATAAATTGCTTCAGGATACAGAAAGTGCATTTTGAACCTTCTGAGGGAAATGTTATCTTGACTTACATTTTGTATCTGTAGTTGTATTATTTTATTTAGTGACTTTTATTTTTCAGAAGTTTTAGATTCATTAAAAAATTGTGACGATATCACAGAGCGTTTCTATGAATCTCTTGCCCCATGCTGAGTTTTTAATTAGCAGTTTTGTGTGGTTGCCAGAAGACCTAATTAAGACCTTTGAGGCATTTGTTGAAATCATTTCAAAATAAAGGTGATAATAGACCCACTCAACCGTTCTAGACAGATGGAGGCTGTGGAAATGTTTCTTGACATTCAAAAACAGTGTATTGAAACTGATAACTACTCATATAAGGAATTCAAGAGGGAAGTTGGGATGTTTAATTGGATAAAAGATTGAAGGTACATGACTACTGTCTTCAGGTGTTTGAGAGTGTAGAATGTGGAAGAAGACAGGCTCATGAGTCAATGAGTGGAAGATGCCTAACTCAGAAAAAGCAAGTCTCTTTTTATTGGTTATATACCAGAAATGACAGCCTTTGTGCATACAGGCAGAGCAGTCCTTTAAATCACAAATGTAATACATGCTTATAGCATATTATATAGCATATAGGAAAAACAGTATATCAAAAAAAGAGAAAATATTCTCTCTCTTAGATCTACTTCACAGATATTGTAAATAGCTTCATATTTATCATTCTAGAAAACATATGTGGAAATATAAATTTTAAAAATTAGAATCATAATATTCTTATTATTTTGCAGCTTGTTACTTTTATTTAACAGTGTGTCATGGGCTTCTGCCTAAATATTTCTTACATTTCATAGTACTTTTTGCATTTATTGTTTACCATCATGGGTGACCACCATGTGTTTTGTCATTGCTGTATCTATGAATATTTAAATTTTATTTATTTTTTGTCATAATGTACAATGTTATGAGTAATAAACATTCTTATATATTTGCCTTTTCACACTTTTGCTATTTCTGTACCTTACTGAATTTAAAATAAGACTGCTGGATCATAACTATAAGCATTTTATAATTTAATATATACTGAGAAATTATAATGATGAACATGCTCATTTCCCTGCATCTCCATGAACACCAATGATATCACAGCTTGTCATTATTTTTCTAATAGGTTAAAAACAGGAACACATCTCCTTCTTATTCCACTTGATTACAAAATAGCTTAAGAATTCAGATACACATTTCTGCAGAGATAACATGGAAATGGCCAAAAGCCATATTCTGTGAATTTGACTACTTTAGATACTTCATATAAGTATATTGAAATATTGAAACTTTATGAAACTGGCTTGTTTCATTTAGCGTAATGACCCCAGGGTTCGTTCATACTGTCACATATTGCAAAATTTTATTTTTTAAAGTATGGATAATATTCCATTGTAATATTTTATTTTATTTATCTATTTATATGTCCAAGGATATGAAGTTGTTTGCACATCTTGACTATTGTGAATAATGCTGCACTACACTTAGGAGTATTAATGTTGCTTCGAGATCTCAATTTCAAATCTTTTGGATAAATATCCACACGTGTGAATACTGGATTTTATGGCAGTCCTATTTTTAATTTTTTTTAATAAACTTCTGTACTGTTTAACCATAGGAGCTAAATAACGTTTGACTTCCTATGGTAATATGCAAGGATTCTTTTTCTGCATATCCTTGCCAACACTTGTTGCTGTTGTTTCTTTTATCACAGCTATCTTGACATATGTAAGGGATAAATCATTATGATTTCAATTTGCATCATTTGGTCATTCCTTGTCACCTTTGGAGAAATATCTATTCGAGTTCTTAGTCCATAGCCTGTATTGTAATTGAATTGTTTTTTTTTTCTTCTTCCTCCTCCTATTCCTCCTCTTATTCTTATTTTGTTGCTATTGAGTTATAGGAATTCCTTATATATTTTGGAGAGTAATCCTTTATCAGATAAATGTTTAGCAAATTTTTTTATTCTGTTTCCTTCCTGCACAGGGGTTTTATAAATTTGATATAGTCCCACTTGTCTCTGTTTGCTTTTGTTACATGTTTTTAGTGCTGTATCTGATTTATTTCACTTAGAATGATGTTCTTCAGGTCCATCCATTTATCAGAAAATGCCATGATTTCATTCTTCTTTAGGACTGAATAGAACTACATTGTGTATATATACACCACATTTTCTTTATCCATTTGTTCATTGATGGGCACCTCTCCTGGTTTCATAACTTGTTTATTGTGAATTGTGCTGATATAAATAGTGTTATGAATTTATTACTATAGTATTTTGATTTTAGTTCTTTTGGATAAGTGCTGAGGAGTGGAATAGCTAGGTTGTGTAGCGGTTCCATTTCTAGGCTTTTAAGGCGTCTTCTTAGTGCTTTCCGAAGTAGTACCAATTTGCAGTCCCACAAATATGTATCGGTATACCTTTTCCCCCCACTTCCTCACCAGCAATTATTATTTGTATTCTTGATTATTGACATTCTAAATGGGATGAGATGAAATATTAGTGTAGTTTTGATTTATATTTTCCTGCTTGCTATGAATATCAAACATTTTTCCATATATTTGTTGACCATTTGTATTTCTTTTTTTAAGAAATGTCTATTTAGGTATTTTGCCCATTTATTGATTACATGATTATTTTTTAATGTTAAGTTTTTTGAGTTCTTCATATATTCTGGATATTAATCCTCTGTTGGAGGAGTAGATGGCAAAGCTTTTCTCCCATTTGTTAGACTTTCTCTTTTTAAAATTAATTTATTTATTTTAATTAGGTATATATGACAGCAGAATGCAGTTTGATTCACTGTACACAATTGCAGCACAACTTTTCATTTCAGTGGTTGTACATGAAGTAGCGTCATACATGTATCTAGGGTAATGATGTCCTAGGCTCTCTCTTTATGCTTTTATTTCTTTTGCTGTGCATAAGCATTTTATTTTTTCCCATTATTTTATTGGTGTGTTATAGTTGTATATAATGGTATGATTTGTTGTTACATATTCATACGTGCACAAAATAGGACAATATTATTTGTTGTGTCTTTCCTGAGTATTTCTTCTCTCTCTTCCCTCACTTCTTCCCCTGGTCCCTTTCCTCTACTCATCTCCCTTTGATTTTCATGAGATTTCCTCTGTGCCCCCACCAACCATTTTTTTACTTCTCCCTTTCTAGCTTCCACATATTAGAGAGAACATACAATCCTTGACTTTCTGAGTTTGGCTTATTTCTCTGAACATAATATTCTCAAGTTCCATCCTTTTTTTACCAAATGATGTAATTTCATTCTTCTTTATGGCTGAATAAAATTCCATTGTGTATATATACCACATTTTCTTTATCCATTCATCTGTTGATAGATACCTAGGTTGTTTCCATAGCTTAGCTATTGTGAACTGTGTTGCTATAAACATGGAAATGCATATATTGCTACAATATGATGACTTTAATTCTGTAGGATAAATACCAAGGAGTGGTATAGCTGGGTCATATGGTGGTTCCATGCCTCGCCTTTTGAGGAACCTCCATACTGATTTCCACAGTGGTTGTACTAATGTACAATCCCACCAACAGGGTTAAGTGTTTCTTTTTCTCCACATCCTCTCCAGTATTATTGTTTGTATTTTTGATGGCTGATATTCTACCTGGTGTGAGATGAAATCTCAGTGTAATTTTGATTTTCATATCCCTAATTGCTAATTATATTGAACATTTTTCATATATTTGTTCACAATTTGTATTTCTTAAAAAATATTTTTTGTTGTAGACATAATATCTTTATTTTATTTATTTATTTTTATGTGGTGCTGAAGATCAAATCCAGTGCCTCATACGTGCCAGGCAAGCATTCTACCACTTTGCCACAACCCCAGCCCCACCATTTGTATTTCTTGTCTGAGTAGTGTCTGTTTAATTCATTTACTCATTCATTAATTGGGTACTTTGCCACAACCCCAGCTCCACCATTTGTATTTCTTGTTCTGAGTAGTGTCTGTTTAATTCATTTACCCATTCATTAATTGGGTGATTTGCATTTGGATGTTAAGTTTTTTGAGTTATTTATATATTCTGGACATTAATTATCTGTCAGAGAGTAGCTAGCAAAGATTTTCTCCCATTCTGTATAATCTCTCTTCACATTTCTAATTGTTTCCTTTGCTGTAAAGAAGCTTTTTAATTTGATAGCATCCCACTTATTGATTCTTGGTTTAATTTCATGAGATTTAATGGTCTTATTAAGGAAATTAGCACTTGCACCAATATGTTGACCTTAAATTTTCTTTTAGTAGTTGCAAAGTTTCTAGTCTAATCCCTAGGTCTTTG